CAGGAATACAAGCACTGGTGCTTTTCTTAACTGCAAACATCCATAATGTTCCAGTCACACTAGGTTTCCTTTATAGTCAGCACAAAGGAACAGGTACTTTTAGAGCTCAGCTCCTTTCAGCCTAAACAAACATCACAGAGAGGTCAAGGGATTTCTGCCCTTAAAAAGCATCTTTCACTCCAGTGACTACAAGAGAGCAGCAGGCAGCAAGCTCCGATGCAGGGAGCTGCGCTGGGATTTCCCATGATTAGCCAAATCACATCTCAAATATTTGGGGCTCGAATCAGCTGTTTCTGGCATCAGCAGAAAGACGACTGTCTCTTTCTAAGCATGTTAGACACAAGGTCTTAGAACAAACTGATAGGACTATGTTGGCTTTGAAAAATGCAGATGGGCACCCAGTGGGATTTTCAAAGTCCTCTTTCATTTCATTCAGGTCCTCTGTCCCTACAAAGGCATCAGGCCAAGTTCCTATCAATCGGCCAGGCTTTGTACACTTACTTACTCCCTTACTGGGTTTCAGCGTTAATCAGTGTCTTACACTACGCCTCATGCTAAACTGCATTCACAGGGAGCTTTATACCCCCAACAAAAATGACTTCTCTAAACCAAATCCATTTAATCTATACTCCATAGTGGAGGTGAAGTTGCAATTTTGAAACGATTGGTTATTTTATTAAATTATTTTTGTAACTAAAGTAATTTAGCAGCAAATAAGTGTAAAGTCCTGGGGGGAACATCGATTATAGCTTATACATGGATGTGACAACCCCAAGATTAATACAAAGTACTGGGCCGATCAGAGTCTAATGTTACTTTAAAGCAGTTAGTTGATGTTTCAGGCAAGATATTTGCTTTATCTTTCCAGGTTCTGTCACCTCTTTCCGATTCCATCCTGGCAGAGAAGACAGTGATCGTTCTAGATGACCGTGTAACCATTATAGATCTAGGCGTACAACTAGTCTCAGGCTTGTCCATCTCCTTACAAATCAGCAAAGGAAGCAAGAGAGCTATCGTTTCTACCACCTCTGCATATGATATTCTTCATACTCTGAAACAGGTATGATCCAAAATAGTATCTAGAATTATTTTTTTTTAATCTCTTTCATTGTATTTATCGTAGAATTGAGACTCTGGATCACTACAGAAAGTGTAACTATCTTTTTAACACTAGCAATCTGCAGTAAGAAGACTTGCTCTGGTCAAACCATCCTTTTAAACATGGTATTTCTGCAAGTGTTTCTTAGTTCCCAGAAAAGGCTATAATCAATCACTTCTGTGTATTTTGTGTAATCTTCTGTATTTGAAAGTGATGACAGAAAATTCAGAATACAGCATTCAGATGTGTTCTTAATGTAAATTGTTTCAAGGGGCTGAATGGGAACAGCATTCCAACACGTAACAGCTCTGCATGTTGTATTAAAACTGGCATTAGAACTGCAGTACTACAGAAATTCCCTATTGTAAGTCCTTTATAAAATCAATTAACCAGGACTTTGGAAATATTCATTATTTGGATTATTTTCACCACGAGGCTCTGGCATTCAAAAGAACCTACATATTTGTCATCACCTTTTATTACATTTAGATGGCTGTCTTTGGTAGTTCCTGAAAATGAGAGAAATGCCCGAGTAAGCGGTCCAGAGAACACAGATCTGTAAGAAGAAAATGAGGAGCAAAGCAGATGTTTTCTTTTTGACAAAAATCCTACAAACCAATGTTAAACTGTGTAATTATTTTGCCAGTGTCAAACAGACCTAAATATCTGAGTGCCTGATCTGTGCTCTCTTACCTGTCTCTTAACTTCCCCATGTTTTGCCTTCTCCCTGTAGGAAGCCATAGTCAGTGCATGGATTCTGTTCAGCGATGGGTCAGTGACACCTTTAGATATCTATGACTCCAAGGACTTCTCCATCACCGTCACCTCACTGGATGAGATGGTAGTGTCTACACACCAAAACCTCCAGTCCAGATGGCCTGTGGTGGTGGCAGAAGGGGATGGGCAAGGACCTCTGATTAAAATTGAAATGGTCATCAGTGAGCCATGCCAGAAGACTAAGCGGAAGAGCATTCTGGCTGTTGGGAAAGGAAACGTCAAAGTGAAGTTTGGTCAAAAAGATTCTGACCAAAAAGGAAGCACTAATGACATTGATGATACAGATAAAGATTTTAAAAGCCATGCAATCAATTCTATAGAGAAACCTGCTGAACAAGAGAGGACAGTACAAGAGTGGTTCAAAAACCACGAGGACATGTCCAGTCATGAGGACAATGCAAACAAAAGCACAACTTTCGTATATCCCATTGATCAGGAGTCCCTGGAGGACGGCCAGCTCCAAAATAACCCAACCGCCTTCACAGGTTTCCCTGTGCAAGTAGAAATACCAGGAGAAAACAATCCCAGTGATCTCACATTGACTTCAAGAGGATTAACAGATTTGGAGATTGGCATGTATGCTCTGCTGTGTGTTTTCTGCTTAGCAATCTTGGTCTTCTTGATAAACTGTGTGGCATTTGCTTGGAAGTACAGGCATAAAAGGTTTGCTGTGAGTGAGCAAGGCAATATCCCCCATTCCCATGATTGGGTCTGGCTTGGAAATGAGGTTGAACTGCTGGAAAACACAGTTGACATTTCGCTCCCGTCAGAGGAGTGCACTACCATGATTGACAGAGGAATGCAGTTTGAAGAAAGCAACTTTCTCCTTAATGGGAGCTCTCAGAAGACTCTTCATAACCATATCCTCAGATCTTCTGAGTACCTTTGTGAAAAAGAAGTTAAAAGTGAACCTATAAATCCTTCTGGGCCAAAGCAGAAGCGAGTAAAGTTCACTTCATATACAACGATACTGCCAGAGGATGGAGGCCCCTACACCAATTCAATTCTATTTGACAGTGATGATAATATTAAATGGGTATGCCAAGATATGAATCTTGGTGATTCCAAGGAACTTAGGGACTATATGGAAAGACTGCAAGACAATATGTAAAACTACTTTCTTATGTTTGTAATCACCTTTATGCCTTCTGTTTATGGATGGTGGAGCAGTCAGTCCAGTCAGCAATAGGAACAAGACAGCCCAACTTTGGAGTTACTGAGATGATAACCTGATATCACTGAGCAGGTACAAGAGGCTGGCTGAATTAAACCTGTTTCACCACAAACCAGGATGTGCCCCTAAAACAGCTACCTGTAGGTGTTGGAGGTGTCACACACTATGGCTGTTTTTGTATACTGCCTGGTACTAGCAAAATGCTAATACAACTGCGCTCAGACTCAGAGGAGACTTCATTGTTTGTCATCTCTCATGATAAATGGTAAATCAGAAAAGAAAGGGATACTTGTTTGCATTGATTTTTCTAGTTGTCGTCCTTTGTAAAGCACAGTAGACATTTCTTGCTTACAGCCTGAAACGAGGCTTACATTAAAAGGGATCTGAATGAATCTAATTTTATTGCCTATGTGCAATGCAGCCAAGTAGTCATCTTATTTTTTACAGCTATAAAACCCCCCATGTGGTTAATTTCTTTTCCTATTGTTTATGACTATTATTTGACTTACTTAGGAAACATTAAATATTTACTTTGGAGGTTTTTTTTGGTTGTACCAAAGTGTAGTATGGTAATATTTATAATGATTTAAGTTTTCTATTCATCTGCATCAGCCCCTAGAGATACCTCTTTCATCACCAATTATCTTTCTCCTTTTCTTATGGGTATATGGGTCGTTAGTATTTGAAACACAGAAAGGTGTTAGAACTCTTACTGGGAAAGGGTTGTATCTTCTTACAGGGAAATGTAAATACAATAATAAACCCTGGAAAATAAAAATCAAGGAGTAACCCTGGGTTTACTTTTGTCATTGCTATTGTGAAAAAGTAACCTACAACAAAACAGCACATACTTCAAAGGAAAATGCTTTCCTGAAACAGCAGCTGGGTTGACAATAAACGTTATCCTCAGAATAAGAAAGTTACATGTGGCATCAAAATGCAGAGAATAGGAAGGATATTTCCTAGCAAGCAAAAGCCTGGAGCCAGTGTTGCTCTGCACTAATTAGAACACCAATTGTAGAGTTCAGCAGGACAAAGAAGTCCATGCTCAACAGTTAATGTCCAGACCTAGTCTAAAACATCTCTGACTGTAAAGACACTAAAAACTTTACACCATTTTACTTCATTAAAGAAGGAAAGAAGGAAAGAAAAGACACACTGGGCACATTACAAAGTGACTGACTGTTCTCAAGTTTAACAAGGGAAGTATGCTGGAGATTCAAAGCTCCATTTCATATGCATTACGTGTATTTTTGTACTGAAGGATGACTCAAATAAGTTGAAAATCACAGCTAGAAAAAAAATGAATCTACATAATACTCAACAAAAACAATAAAGCACATGTTCTTGTGATGGATCCTGTGCAATAAACACAAGATCCAAATTACAACTGCCTTACATAACTTAGCTCGTGACAGGATTTGAATTTTGTAATTCAGTTCTGCTATTAGAACAGACGAGACCACCTTAACCACGGGAAATCCTGCATTTGCAGCCTAATCCATAACTGGGAACAGGTTTAATGTAACTGCTGCAAAGTATGAGAATTTTAATGGTGAGTCTAGAAAGTGAGAACATCAGGCTTAGCTAAGTGATGAGAGACTTACGTTTGCTGGCACTGAACTGCACAGTGAGGGGATGGCATCTGTTATAATCTAATTTTAAGTAGAGAAAATAATAGAGCACAGAGATACTTCTGTTTCATAAGGGATGCAGCACTTGTGCATCAAATGAAGTCTTGGGTTGTTTAACAAATGTTCCCTTCTCCTTAAATGATCCAGACCTCATAAGGAAATATTAATTCCTACTATGAACCTTGTTACTACCAACATAAAAATCCCTTTTTAGAGTTTAACATCTCTTTCCATCACGTTATTTTGTATGTGGCCCAAGCATAAAGCAAGAGTATTATCTGCACAATAGTAAGTAAGTGAGTATAAATCAACCACAAATAAGTTTACTCTGGAAATCAGAGGGAACAGCTTGCTGATGGCAGTTGCAGAGGGCAAACAGCAGAGCTATTTTCCTGAGCACATACCATCAGTTCACCAGTGGAACTGTGATCTCACAGCAGTGTACTGGACTCCATGCCCTGTTTCTGCACTGTGGCTCAGTACACCTGCGGATGCTGACCTCTTCTTGTCAGTGCCACAGAGGCACACAATAAATGGATGCCTTTGTCAGTGTGCTGAGCTGCTCTTTGACTCATTAACAGCCAATGGAAACCAACAACTTCATTTACGTGGTCAGGAATTTCTCAAGGACTGTGACCTTGAGAGACTGAAGATCATCGCTAAGTCAGAGTGCTCACCACTGCCACACGGGTGTGTCCTTGAACTTGCACCTGAGGCCTAACCCCTGCTTGTACCTACCAGTGGCTGTACATTCAGGCTGCACACTTAAGTATGTGGGGGAAGGACAGCCCTGTGTGCAGCATGGTCATTGCTAGAAGCCACCAGAATCTGTAAACTAGGAGAAAAAAATCTGCAACTGCAGCTCATATAGCCTTTCTTTTTTGGTTTGGTTTTTTTTACATCACATGTTGGGACATGCAAGTTCTTACATGGAAAATGGCAATACAAAAAACCAAAAGAAGTGAGAATTCTGTTCTCAGTAATTACACCAGTAAAGCAGAGCTATTCTGGACTTATACTGCTTTAAGCACTTTGCTACTTCTTATAAAATTGAAAAGAATTTAGATGAATAGATTCAATACAAAATATGGTTTGGAGCTGATCAGTCCTTTAAAAATTAAATAGCTTTAATTTCAAAATTGTGACATACTTTAAGTAAATTTAATTTAAATTGAAATTATTTTAAACGCCCCCACAGTTTTCTGATTCACCTGAACTTTTTTCAATTCCGCTTTTAAAATCAAGTATTTTATTCATGGAATATATAATATTTCTTTTTGCTGTTAAATGAACAGCACTTAACATCGATAAAAAGAGTCTGTGCTTTCGAGAGTACAAAGCAAAGGCTGCCACATATGATCAACAGGCACCATGTGTGTGTATGTATGTATGCAGGAAACTAGGACTGTCTAGGAGAGCAAAGCCAAACTACACTGACAGATTAATTAGTAGTATGCTTCAGTAGGTGCCCAGAAGAGCAACACCTGTAATTTACTGCTGAACAAACCCAGCACGTCTAGAGAAGATGCTGTGCGCCAGCTGTTGAGGAAGGACAGGGCGCACTATCAGCACACAGACCAGGAGACACCCAGGCAAAGAGTGGATTAATGGAACACGGCGAGTTTGCAGACCTTAAAAATAAAGCTGATGCCAGACGTCACCTCTTGTAACGCGAGTGAGTGATTTATGGCAGTGGCATAAAAGAACAGAGAAGCCAGTAATTCTCACCTGTGCAGAAGGTTTTCTTTCTGTTGGCCATCACACACAGCCCAGCTCCATGTGACTTGTCTCTACCTTCTTCCCCAGTGAAGCAAGAACTTACTTAGGAAACCAGGGCCCTGCTCTCCTCTTGACGTAGAACCACAGAGATTAACGTTTTGAGCTGCTGTTTCTTAATTCATACTGGGGAATGTACAAGAAAATCTTACAGCCATACAACACAGTACAAACAGTCCATTATTCAATGGAACCCCTGTATTTCAAGGTAGAGTACCCTATGAGTGAAATAACTTTTTATAGCGGATATGCTCTTTTCTGAAATATAAATCATGTGCACTACATTGAAATACACTACAGTGTATTGTGAAATGCATACATTAACTGCTGAATCTATAACACTGAATATGTATATACATCACACCCAAGGTATTTATACAATATAATAAGTCTTAGATGTATAACATAATGAATTCTGTTCAAAATAAACTGTAAGTTAAGACAATGAAAGAGAACTTTTATATCTGTGTAATTTGTATGCTGATTAAGTTATTCAAGCCTCAGTTTTCATCTTTAAATGTGCTCTTAAAAAATCCTTATTTTCTGTAGGCAGATGTCTGAAATAAAGACTTCACTCTTCAGTAAAGCAGCAACTGAAAGCCTGTGAAAGAAACAGATTCTGCTGGAGAAATAAACATAATGGCCATGTTTTTTTAACACTGACTAAACCATTCACCGTTTATACTGGTCAGGGTGATCTGCTGGTTGGGTGGAGGGAGAGGTGTGCCTGCAGTGTGAAGTCAGTTGGCAGAATCACCAGCGGGTGGAATGCTCCTGCGCCTCCTTGCTCAAAGCAACACAAATCACCCGATTACACAGTCCAAGGATTTCCCCCAACCTTCCTGGCAACTGGTGTCCCAGCCCCCTCTTCCTGCAGCAAGTGATCTCTTCCCAGCACCAAACGTAAGGAACAAATGACCTACTAAATGACCACTGGCTTGCAGAGAACAGCAGAGAGGCATCTCTGTTTTCAAAGGTAACAAATTTCACCCATGGGTGACTCATCATATGTCAAGTATTAGATTTAGGGGTCTGAATTTCCTTACCTTCCCATTAGTACCAGTCTCAAAATCATTAAGTGACCGCTGACCTCATCACAAGTGCTGTAGGACAGGAGCTTGCTAATGTCAAAATAGGAAATTTAGCTTTTGCTCAAGGTTTTGGAGGTGGTTGCAGAACCAGAAACACAAACTCTCCCAAAACCTCCCAGAGTGATTGGGCTTACCAAAGACAACACTGTGCCGACATTCAGGAGGGGACTCCATCTTTTTTCTGCTTGCAGCTGGGCCACGTTTGAGAGCTGACTGTACAATCTCACTGCAAAGGTATGGGCTGCTCTTGTGCTAGTGGGAGCCATTCAACATCACCTGAATGATTTAATGATCACTACTGTCATTTCTCAAGTACTGAGTTGTGGTTTTATATAAAGTCAATTAAATGAGTGGATTGAAAACTGTAATTTAGGAAATGCCCCAGAGTACCTAAACTTTAATGTGCATCAGACACCAATTCCATTTGGTCACCACAACAGTAAAATAAGACACATTTTTCATAAAGGACACTCCTTCCGTACTGCCAGTTATATTTGGTCCCTGTTTGACCCTTACAGTGACACTCTTCCCCTTACCAGTATCTGATTAAAGAGATGCCAGTAGATCTGCTTACACTGCCGTACTCCATTCGGTGTAATGAAAGGGATCAGACGATGAGCTTTTACAGAAAAACAGTCTTTGCAGTTATATTTTACACACACACACACACACACACTCAACTGTTCAAAACAACTACTGTATGTGTAAATTTTAACTACCTCTGTGTGTGTGCTATGTAATGGAAAATAATTACCTGCATTCACCTGGGAAAAAAACAGCCCAACAAATACAGCTTTTTTTCCTCCCAAAAAAGTCAGCCCTCAGGATTTGGCAGGCAGAAGGCCCACACAGTGATATTTGCCACAAATTAAACAGGCCACATCCCGGAGGCTGTCTCAGCTGAAACTCCCACTGGTCTTGTTAGGAGCTGGACTGAGGCAGGAGCAGACAATCGCCAAGTCAGGTCTGGAGCCTGAGAGGTTGGCAATGTCCTCATGTCACACAAACTGGACCCAATTGGTAGTGCCTCCAGCCAGTACCAAGCAGGCCACATGACACATTGCAGTACGTGATATTCATGGAGCTGAAGCTATTAATTCTACACCATCCCAAATCTACCCTGAAATCTTATCCCCGAGTTATTTCCTGTGCTGAAATAGCACAAGAGCAGAAGTTACAGTATGCTGTGAGTAGGAGATACTCTTGGTCCCACTGGAATCGTGATGGCTTTAACTATGATCAGGATTCTCTGGTATTCCAGGTATCACTACCAGGCAAACTGAAGCCCACAGCAGTTGTAATGGCCAAAACCTGACCCAACCTGTTCTATGTATAAAAATCCCATGTATAAAAAAGTCCTCCTGATTATTGTTCCAGACTTCCTTTTCTCTGAGTACATGTGCCGGTGGACATTAGAGTGTCTGTATTACCGTGTATTTTGTTCATACAGTGAAACTAGTACTGTGTAAAATGGATTTTTTTAGGTTTTGCTTTTTTAGACAGTTCTAGCTTAAAATGGAAAAAAATCCATTAAAATGCATACTAATTCTTCTTGGGAAGGGATCCATACATTATGCACACCACACTGATCTAGATATCAGACGAAACACACCATCTAGTGTGGATTAATACACCGTCTACTGTGGATTTATGTCAGACCTTACCTCTGAACTGAAGCTTGTTTTATAGTTGAAGTTCATGGTCTGTAATCTTTGCAGTGATTCTCTCATCACAGCAAACACCACCTATCATGAAAGGTGCTTAAAAACCCAGAAGCTTGAGTTAATTGTATCTTCTTTAAAAAGAATAAACAAACAGAAACCTAAACCCCCCATAACAGAAGCTGCTCTCTGAAAAAGCACGAGGTGGCATTACTGTTCATTAGGAATTAGTAACTTATTAAAACATTCAAAAAATTACAACATACATAAAAAGATGTCACTGCCGGCTATAAATCAGCCTTTCACTTGGGGTAAAATACTACTTCTTCCATGAGAAATAAATTTTGACAATTACTTTTATTTCCAATAGCTAGATTAAGAGCATGTTATATTATCAGTTTAATTCACTTCCGGTATACAGTGAGAGGTCAGAGTCAATACCCAGACAAGCAGACAAACTATGTAAAAAGCCACCTACCTAGTGCAAGGAAACCGAACTACAGAACTAATAACTCTTTGCCTAATCATAGCTAAGCATTTGTTAATGTTTCCCCTTGGTTTATTTAAGCTGGGTATAGGTATCTCTTTTAATTCCAGGGACAGTAGATAAGACATTGATACCACTTAATACTATGCTACATATGTATGTAGCATACATGCATACACATGGCATCACTACTAATATGTAGCTGATAGCACCAAATTGGCCAATTTAAGTGAAAATGTTGCAGGATCTTTAAAAAAAAAAAAGATTAAAAAAAATTCAAATCACTTACTTCCAACAGCCTGATTTACAGACAGGTTACAAGAATGTCAGTTACAAGAATCTCTTTCTAGGGGGGTTTAGCAAGGACTGAAGAGATTGATACAAACCAAGCAAAATTAAGAACTTTATCCAAAGCCAGAGGATGTTAATTCCATTGACATCAATTGCTGACTAGAAGGGGTCAGCTGGAATCCCACCCACTCTGCTGTAAGCACTTCAGGCCACTGAAGAGGAAAGACACACTGGTACTGCTCCCCCCTGACCTTACCTAAACCTGCCTGCAGAACAAGAGAAGGGGGGTGCACAAATGGCAAACACAGACGTGCTGTGCTCTTTTTGACATAACCTTCCAAGCAGGAAAGGGGCAAGGGCTCAGCAGGAGCTGGAAGAAATCAGAGACTGCCCAAATACCGTGAGGTTGAAAATAGCCATCATACTGTTTATGCTGCTTGTGTTGACTCTCGGTTAGCTCTGGCCCACTGCAGAAGAGGGTTGCTCAAGTCCTTTTCTGGCTTTAAACCATCTCTAATGCATCACTCTAACTTAGCAAATTGTT